TGAAAGTGAGGTTGCTCTTCGGAGGCTTTGAGCGTTGTAAAATTCTTGAAGTCTCGGCCCTTATCTGTTCTGCGGTTTGAATGGGCAGCGAACGTATGCCACACTCTACATTTGATATGATGTCCTCCACTGGTAACCTGGACGGTACTATGGCAAAGTTTGCTCCCTTGGCCAGCTCGCTTTGTTCGTCAGCAGTAAGTTCCTTGCTGGTCAAGTTGACTATAATCTTCTGTTGGTACTCCTCGGGTGATGGCCCTGTTTTGCTGGATCGTTGAAGCTTTTCCATCAGCGCATCAAACTTCTTTTTTTGGCGATTAGTTGCTACTGCTTCGGCCACCATCATTCGGTCAGCTGTTAATCTATCCACTTTTTCCCAATGAATCCAGTGCATTTTGTTGGCCAGTTCTATATTGACAGGTAAGAGTCTACTGTCAATATGTGGAAGATCTCGGCGGGTTTCATGTATCCGTTCCCGTAAAAGAGCTCGTTCCGCCCGGTTGTAGATATTCTTGGCCTGGTTGGTTCTGAAGTATCTCTTCATCTTCAAGAAGGTTGTGGACAAAACGTCAGGAAGAAATTCCCATAGACCACGGCTTCAAAACCCGGAAAACATTCCTAAATGTGATTTAACCGGCCGTGAAAGCCTTCATAGTCTAAATATCTGATATGTTTGGAAGGGGGAACTTGTCGTCAATTGAATTGAATTATTTCATTTAGTTTACGATACTCGATGACTATGCGCCACTTTTTTTATTTGAAGCACCCATTTTTTTTTGGGACTATTCAAATTGGGCTGCTCCATGCAGAATTCGAATTTTGTATTATACCATTTTCAAACATTTTATTAATTTGAGTTTTGACTTACTTTTAGATTCGGAATTCCTTGTATGGGTGCCGTGAGACGTTTGGGGCATTTCATGCTCCAGGCGAGACGCACCTGGCTGGAAGGGGTGACGTACAGGCAGAGGTTGGGTGATTTCCCTGGCATTTGTTGCATGTTAAGGGTTTCTTGCACTCCTCCATTTTAGGACAGACCCGGTATTATTGGTTGTCCAAAAAAACTACTTAAATTCCTCGCAGTTTGCGAATATCTTAGGTATTTATATATGCTCGCACTGGTACGTCCGTATGCTACCGAGGTTAAACCGCGAATCTCCGTTTCATTTTAAGACTTATATAAAAGGAGAACTTGCAAGACTGCAGTCGTAATTTTATTTATAAACTTAATCCTTAAATTAAATCATAAATGCAAGTTAACACCGCGTGGTTAAATACGACCGTTTACCCAAGTCCTTATTTCATAAACGTAACTTAATTCTTAAAATTTGACTTTCAAAAGTTCGGAATTTTTAACTTTTACGAATTAACGGTTAATGAATCGGAATGTTGAAGGTACGCGCATGCGGCACATCCGTATAAACAAACGATTTCTGCCATTGTGTAGCTAAAAGCTAGCGGCTTAATACAAGAAGAAGAATTTGACGCCACTTTGACAGATAAAAACCGTTATTTGATTCTTTGATTTAAACACAAGCAGAATGTTTTCAAGATAAGGATTGTTTGTCAGAGGCTGTTCAGCTTAATAATTGAATGTAATGAGGAAAATTATGGAAATATGTTGGAACATGAACTGTTGGACCTGGTGGAAGAGCAACTTCACTTATGGGAGAAAAAGTCGGTGCGCACTATCTTATTGTCACTCTCTATTCATCCATGGTTACCGGAGTTTTAGGTTAATTGCGCAATGTTAATTAGGCAAATTACTTTTAAAAACCTTGCTGCCGTATTTCTGATATAGTTTTTTGCAAATTTCTCAGTTTTTAATAACAATTAATTAATTTTACTATTTTTTCTGTCCTCCTATAACAGCGCCAGACAACACCTCCAGAGGAATGACGCCAATTTTGAATCACCCTGTATTAAATGCCAGGTCGTTGGGACATGATTTTCAAAAGGTTGTATCTATCTCTGTGTTTTTTCTGCAAAAATTTATCAGCAATATTTTTTTCCGCTGAATGTGGTTTATTTTAAGTGTAGGTGATTTAAGGGAATATTTCCTTCGTATGATAATCTGTCCGTTTGAAGTGTGCAATTATCGAAAAATTACAGCGGTAATTGCACAGTGTGTAACACAGTGTGCAATTATCACTCAAAGATAATTGCATCGTTTACAAAAAATATATGACAGGTGTCTTTTCATGTTGAATTAGACATCAAATGTTTTCCTGACATACCTAAAATATTCAAATTATAATTAATAAACATAAGTAATAAAATTAAAAGTGTAATAAAATATAATAAAAATAAAACCAATCCACATTTACTTTGTGTACTCAGGATATATTCATTAAAATTACACTCGTGCATCAAAATAAACAGATAATTTTGCATTCGAGCTTGTTGTCTTGTAAAAACTGCATTCTTTTATTTTCACATTGGAATGTGAAACAATATGAAAATAAACTCATGCAGTTTTTAGACAACAAGCTTTTATGCAAAATTATCGGTAATTTTGACGCACTTGTGCAGTTACCCCCGAAAATTAAAATAAACGCCGAAATAAAGGATGCTTCTCGGATTTTAACGTCTCGTGAGATTTTTTACTTTGGTGGCCGTTTGGCAACATGGCTGAGCAGGATCGAGTTTTCGGCTGCACGAACGATGCGTGCGGCTTTCTTGTGCGCGCACGATAGCAGATGGTGCTGCAAAGTTTTACTAGGTTTTCAAATTCTTACCTTATCGAACACTTCAAATTGAGCACTTTCAACTAATAAATTCCTGGCTGGTCCATAAATTAAGTCAAAAACACTTACAATTACATTACATGTGCCAAAATATTTATTGCTTTTTTCTACGATAAGATAGTTACGTTGTTAAAGAAAAGGAAAAGAACAAAAACAACAACGAAAAAACAAAAACCGCAACAAAATAATCGAAACGAAGTGAAGCCGACTCGCAGAAGAAACGCACAGTTTCTAAACGTACCTGCGACGCGCACCATTGTCCAAAGTACCGCGACGGACAAAGAGTTTTTTCTGTTGTCGCCCACCAAAGTACCGCGTTGGCCTCAAATCTTTTCTTTTTGGCCTAAGAGCAAGGATGCTCCGGAAAAAAACAAGATTGATGTTTTATGCACTTGACGTCAGCAAAAAACAGGCATTGGCTTAGGTATCCGTTAGGTGTTGGCTATCGTTTTTTCCTGAACGGGCCCCCGAACCACCCTCGTTTTAAGTTTACGCACTTTTTTAACTTTAACACCTTTTCAAAAAAGGATTTCAAAAAAGTTAAAAGCTGTCAACTGCACTGCACACGGCATCATGAATAAATAATAATGCAGTGCACACTGCGTCCCCACTGCGAGACGCTAAAGCGTAAGGTAGAGGCGACATATTTTCTTTGTTTTTGCTATCAATATCAATGAAACGGATTAATTACGTTTGAGATGAGCTGAAACTTTTCATGCTTATGAGGGATTTCCCATTGCTTCTCGTGGAAATCGAAAACTTTTCATCGTTCCCCCGTAGTGTTCGCATTTCGCCATTTTTGACTCGCTTATTGTGCTTTTCTGCGTTTGAGTGTGATTTTTTAATCGAAAAATTGCATTCTTTTGATGGGCCTGTCACAGTTTGTTATCTGACTTGAATCGACTGTGTCAAAATTGACAACCATTTGACTGACAAGTGCCAACTTGGCGTTTTAGAGTTGCTGTGAACGTGACAGGCAGCAATCGAACGAATGACATTTTTGACTCAATGTGTCCATTGTCTAAGCCGAGCAATGTAAACAAACATGCAAAACTGTCAATCGTGCAGGTTACTACTTGATGAAACGTTTAAACTATTTGCAACCGTTTTTCCAATTGCCAATTTATGTTAGTGGTATAATTTGAAGAAAGCAGATTGAGCTACACTCGAATATTTGAACGCGCGCTCTTTATTTTTCCAAAAAAATCCATTAGAACAAACTTAAGACAAGCCGTTGAAAATAGATTTGCATGTTTGAATATCAATGTTTGGTGAAGCTGACAGAATTCGATTTTGACTCTAGAAGAACGACTTTGGAGCCGTAAAATGGAGCGGAACACATGGGAAACCCATTTTCGAGCCGTTCCCTTCGCCATTCTAACAGTCAGCATTTGCCAGGTGATTAATAAACAATTTCAGCTTCAAGCGTTTGCACTTTTTTGCTGTTCTAGATACTTTTCTACGTATTTTCCACTCCCAGCGTCAAGCAATTTCTTCGCCATGATCCAAGCAACCCGCTGGAGGTTTGGAGGTATCTCACATACATGTTGGTGCACGAGGACTGGTTTCATTTGCTTCTCAATCTGGTCGTACAGTGTATTTTCGCTGCTCTATTGGAGGACCGTCAGGTAGAAAAGTGAGGGTTGCTAGAGGAAAGTGAGGAGTGGAGCAATTGGTTTACAGGGTCGCATTAGAGTGTTGATACTTTATGTCTTGGGAGGCGTCATTGGAAGCTTAGGGGCAGCATGGCTTCGCTCTGCTTTACTGGTAGGCGCTTCAGCTGGAGGTTACTCGCTTCTTCTCACCTCTTTTGTTGATCTACTGCGGGTATGTGTCACTTCGATTTTACAGGCCAATAAAAGTGAGAAACACCAACAAAATTTCAGAACCGTCATACCATAAACCACAGAAAAGTTCGTTCAATATTCACGCCAACGGTGATAATCACCGACATGATCTACCACGTTTATATGAGAGAGACGCAGGTTTCATGGCAAGCCCATTTGTTCGGCGCACTTACGGGACTGGTTCTAGGTAAAACTGGCGCATATTTTCCTTGCGTGATATTTCGATAAAAGTAGATTTTGGGCTTTTTAGGCTTGGTTGTACTGCGCAAAACACCTACCAAAACCACCAGTGTTGGATAATCTGGGACTGACATTTTTCAGACCATCTTAATAGGGTCGTTGGACAAAATGTGCACGAAAAAGTATAGGTTTTTTAGACGTTTTTAACTTTATTAGGTGGCATCCAGGCTATTAAACTCTTTAACATCTCGCTAATTGATTTGGAGGACTTCTGCAAATTGTATAAGATAGAATTGCACTATACCACATCCAAGAATAGTAATTCAAATTCACCTGTCGAAAGATTCCATTTATCCATAATAGAAAGATATCGTTGCTTAAAAGCCCATTTACACGCTCAAGCCATCTGAACGATCTCGCTTGCGCATGCCAGATCTGTGCAGATGAACCAAACGAAAATCTGGCGTTTACACGGTCAGTGCGTTTTACACAGATGTGAAGGAAGACCACCCAAACGTGCATTGTTGCCAAGATGTAACATTTGGACGAAGAGTTAATTCTTGCAACGGCTGCAGTGTGTGTAATTAAAAAAAAGATGAACTTAAAAACTAAAAGGAAATGGTGTAAACCATGGTTGCTGAATAGGAATTTCTTGTC